TTACTTGCTATGAATCAGAAAGCTGGACAATGACCAGGGAGGATAGAAGGAGAATTGATGCCTTTGAGCTGTGGTGCTGGAGAAGAGTTTTGAATATACCGTTGACTCCAGGAGAACAAACAAGTCTGTCCTGGAGAGGATGAAGCCAAGCTGCTCCTCGACAGCAAGGATTCTGAAGCTTCATCTGACATACTTTGGAAATGTTACAAGGTGGATTCAGTCCTTAGAGAGGGACGTCATGCTTGGGAGGGTGGAGAGGGGACGTCATGCTTGGGAGGGTGGAGAGACAGTGCAGTAGAAGAAGATCCTCAATAAGATGGATTGATTTAGTGACTAGGGTAATAGGGATAGTGTGTCAGAGACAATACGATTGGCATGGGATAGAGCAGGGTTTAGGGCTGTTGTACATAGGGTCGCTATGAGTTGCAGGTGACTCGAAAACACATAACAACAAGATATATGGAGCAGTACTATATATTGGAAGGGCTAGTATGGAGTGGTAATATGCTTTACTGGGTTCTTTAGGTGCTGCTCCTGAGGAAACAGTTTTTCTCTTTTGGATTTGGATTCTCAAACTTCTCAGGAACACACATTTGTAAATCAATACTCTGCTTTGGTTTTTCTTTTCTGTCTTTTTTAATCAGCTTCTATCTTAAGAATGCCTATATTATGTCTCCCTTGAGAAATCTGAGGATGAAGAAAATAATCGTCCTTAGAACAGGCAAAATCTATTTAACTCTTTTTTCTTTTTTCTTTTCCTGAAACCTAATGCTCTGGGAAGTATAACTTACTTAAGAGCTTTTTTACTTCATTTTGGTATTATAAGCAACGAAGTTTAGTCTTCTTTAAAGAAAAGCTTACGTGATAATCAAATGGAATTTTTCAGAAATTTCTATTTCTTGTATCCCCTGGTTTCATGTTTATGAAAAATAAGACCGGCACACCCATGTTTATCGTGGTTTTGTTCACAGTAGCAAGGAGCAGGAAACAACCTAAATGCCCATCAACAAATGAATGGATAGAGTAGCTGTGGTATATTCACATAATGGAATACTACGCTGCTTTGAAAAACAAGGAACTCATGCAATATTATTCAAAATGGGTGACCCTGGAGGACATTATGCTGAGTGAAGTATCTCAGTCACAAAATGACAAATACTGCATGGTGCCACTGTTATAAAACAGGACTGACCTTGCAGTTGGGGGGAGACTGAGAAAGATGGGTTCAATAATGTATACTGCTTGAAACAGATGAGGGAGAAAACTGTTTAAAAGGGATATGTGATTAGGTATTTTTGTCATGACAGGAGCCCATAGCAAAGGCTGTATGGTGGAGTGAACCTGGGGAGAGGGATTGTAAAACAATGAAAACATTTTTCTTTTCTTTTTCCAAGAGGGTAGTGTACTGGGGGGGAGGGTTGGGAGGGAAGAAAACTGTAACAATGAATGAATTCCAAAGTCTCTGTAAATTTTCATTGAAATTAACAATAATTTTTTTTAAAAAGAATAAGACCTACATATTTTTGAGGTATTTTTTTCTCTTTTATTGTTTTTCACCTTTTTACCTTGTCCTTTCCTCTTTGTATTTGTTTAGCATAGTGCACATCCTATCATTGTTGGTTAAGGGTTAGCTGACTCTTGTAGTAGTATGATGATGAAATATATTTACTCTTAATTTCAGGTCTAATAGTTGCACCATTTTCTCAAGATGCTCAGATCCATTTATCTCTAGACTTTGATTATTTGAAGGATAGTTTCCCTATCTCTATACTTCTATTATTCTTAGTATGTTCAGGAGAATCCAGTCCTTGGAAAAGAACATCATGCTTGAAAAAAATAGAAGATCAGCAAAGGAGGGAAGACCCTCAAGATGAATTGATACAGTCAGTGCAGATTTGTGCTTGAGCCCATAAAGGTTGTGAGGATGGCAGAGGATATGGCACTGTCTCCGTTGTGCATAGTGTCTCTGTGAGTCAGAATCAATTCAACAGCACCTAACATTTCCAGTCATTACGCTAAGGATCTAATCCCTTACCAGTCCTTGGAAATAGTTTTTAAAATCTATCATATGATGTTGTTGTGTGCTGTCAAGTTGGAATCACCCATAGCTGACCCTCCAGCAGGTTTTCGGGGGCAGCTGATTGCACAGGAGGAGATTCCACATCATTCTTGTGTGTAACAGCTGATGGATTTGACCCATGTGCCTTTGGGATTTCAACTCAGCTTCAGTCACTAGGCCACCAGAACTCGCACAATAGTTTCTTAGTATGCAGTACACTTGATGTAAAAGAGTAGCTTTTAATGTGAAATTGTATGTCTATGTACACTAATTAGGTTTGGTTGATTTATATTGAATTCAACTTTTTTTTAAAAATTCTGAAAGAAATACATGAAAACATTATATCACGATCACATCTGAGACTTAAAGAAATCACTTGTGTTTTGTTTTAGAGTAAAGAAATTTCTTTTCAGAGAAGGAAACCTACCTATGCACTAACCTTGGAAGCAGGGGGAAAGTTACTGAGCACAGCTGATCTGGAAACTAAAGAGCTAATTGACAAGAAAATCAGCCAACTTCAGGAGAGCTGGAAAGACACTGAGCTTCAGGTGGGAGAAGTAACAAAGCACTTCCAGAGCATTGTAGAGGTAAGCCCACCTTTTGCTTTTCCATTCATAACCTTCACATTTGATAATTCCAATTTTATTCACTGTGTGAAAATGTTGTTGTTTTCTGTGAAATTAGAACCAACCTATAGCTGACCCTCTGGTGGGTTTTCAGAGGCAGTAAACCACCCGGGAGGAGATTGCTCATCCTTCGGCAGAGCTGCTGGTGGATTCAAACCCATGCCTTTGAGATTGGAGCACAGCTTCTTAGCACTAGGCCACTAGAAATAGAAACCAGTTTTAGGCCAGATGAGCTGTGGGAGGATATCAAGAATATTATCCATGAAGAATGTGAAAGGTCATTACAAAGACAGAAGAGGAAGAAAAGACTGAGGAGGATATAGGGAGAGACTCTGAATATGGCACTAGAGCACCAAGAAGCCAAAGCAAAGGGAAGAAATCAAGAAGTTAA